ATTTTAAGTAAAGAATGAGAGTTAAAAGAGGTTAATAATGTTCTGATTGTCCATAACTTTGTTAACTTTGCATAGATAGAACATATCAAGATATTCAAGTAAATTTATTAATTTATTTAGTTAATTTAACCTTTATTTGAAATCAATGATTAAAATCTAATTTACACTAAATAGTGTTTAAAACCTTATGTTGATCAATTTATAAATTTTAATCCTTATTCTAAAATAGCTAAATATTACTCTGCTTATGTAGATATTATTATAAGTATATGTGACCCTAGAAAATATCATAAATTTTGTTATGAAGATTATATTGACATACATTATTTTAATTAATTAGCAATCGATTCTATTGATTTAAACTCTACTTTTTAAATACAAGGTTAATTTTGTTAGACTCCTCCTTTCTAAATTTTAGCTAAAACTACTTTTAAAAGTAAAATATTTAATTTACAAAAAATTTAAATTTTATTGAATTCTGTTGAAACTCTATTCTTTAACTTTTAGGATTTAGTTTAAATTATCTAATATGATTCAATAATCATTAATAATTTAGGGTTTATATTTAATCTTAAATCTATTGGAAAATTCGAATTCATAAATAATAATAAAAAGGTTGATATAACTTTAAATAAATTTAACATTAAAGACAGTTATATTAATAGTGTGGAATCTGTATTAAATACTATGATTTTTGGTAATTTAAATTTTACTAACATTTCCATCATTAATACATAAATTTAAAACTCTTCTTTTCTTAATTTACATTTATATGATTTTGTTGGTTAAATTACAATTGATACCATAACTATTTCAAATTCAATTATAAATAACTCATAAATGTTTAAATTTTCTAAGAATTAATTTAATATTCTAATCAAAAATTTAGTGATTAATCATTGTGAATTAATTAACTCATCATTCATTTATTTTACTCTTAATTAGATTAATAATACTAATTTAATTTTCTTAAATTTAAACATTTCAGATAATATATTTACAAACTCTTCTTTTTTATATTGCTCAAGCTAAATAAATCTTAGTATTTACAACTTTTTATTCATAAATAATACAGTTTTGAAATCTATAATCTTAGGATTTAACTATAATTTATTATTAAATAACATTAATATAATAGAAAATATTTTCATTGATTCATAGTTTCTTTAAACAATTTAATAACTCTATGAATATTAGATTACTTGTAAATTATAATATTTAGAAGCTAAATTAAATTTATTTTAAAATTCAAATTTGTTTTTACTTTTTTCCATTTATTAAATGAGTGGGTTTATTGTTGAAATATAAGATATTATTCTTGATTAGAATTCAAAATCATCTAATAGTAACTCATCAAATTATTTGTTCAATATAAATTGCTATAAAATCATAATTAAAAATGCCAAAATCATAAATTCAGATAGTATGCATATATTTTATTTGTTTGAAAACTACAAAATCATTATTCAGAATGTTCTTTATAAATAATCAAAATTAAAAAGCAAAGTTTAATTATCTTTAGATTGTGTTAATTAGGATAAGCCAATTAATTAATTACTTTAAATTTAAGGATTCATAGACATTTTTATTTAAGATGTGAGAGTTGTAAATTAAGTTAGTTATGATGAAACTCTAATTTAAATTTCATCTAGTAAATAATATATAAATGAAATCAATAGAAAGATAATAATAAATAGACTAGAATTTTTTGGTAATCTGTTACTTTCATCAATTTAAATTATTCGCCTCTCACTAATAACTATTAGTTCTGATTAAAATTTATATGTAAGTTTAGAAGATATTAAATTCAAAAGAAATTTTATGCATATTTATTAAGAAGATTCCTTACTTTATTCAGCTGGCCTCATTTATATCATTTCAACATAGAGCGAAGTTAAAATTAAAGGATTATATTGTTATGAGAATGCATATACTAATTCTTCAAACTCTTTTATTATTATAACTTCTGATTCAGTAGAATTAAATAATATAGAAGTAAATTATCACAATATATTACCTCTAAATTTATGGTAAGAATATTATAATATTTCTACTGACATTGAATTTAATTAAGATAAAGTTAACTATTTTATTTCTTAAGTATTTTAAATTAAAATTATTGGAGGATCTTTTTAAATATCAGCTTCTCATATCCATTGTATAAATTCTAAATTTAATTCAATATTTGCTTTAAAAAGTTAAATTTTCGATATTATAACATTTGGCTAGGGAATTGTATAATTAATATATGTTACAATTAATTAATCACATACTGATTTAATATCGAAATCGAAAAAAACAGGTTGCATAAATATTAATTCTTAAACTAGTTTGTTAAATCTTTCTATAATTAATGTAGTCTTTATTAAAGTTTAAAATAGGATAACATCATCAATATTAACTATTTATCCTTCTTTAATTTCTAATTAAATATTATTAGATAATGTTATTATAGAAGATTGCTTTTCCTTACTTAATTAAATCATTAATGCTTAATTCTAGTAATAAATAGCACATTTAAATTGTATAACTTTTAAAAATATATAAATTATTTAAAATTTAGATGCTATGATTAATTTTTTTTAGTAAGTCAAAAATTTAACTTCAAATGAAGTATTAGCAATAACTGATATCAATAATGCTATAATTTTATTAGAAAATTGTATTTCTCATATAAATGGATTAATTTTTGAAGGAATTTTCATTGGACCTTTATTATTATTTATAAATAATCCTAAATTAATATTTTATAATTGTTAAATCAATAATATCTAAACTATTTATTCTCTAAATCTTATATCAATTAATTAAAATAATTAAGAAAAATAAGTAGTTTCATTTAGTTAAATAAGTATTTAAAGAGTGAGTATATTTGAAAAGAATTTAGATTAAATTATTCAAGAATAGAATGAAAATTATTTCATAATAGGGTGTATCTTAAATAAGTAGGGGGAATCTAGAACTGAATAACATAATTATTCTAAAGAGAATATTATTAAACTATAATAATCTTAACCATATTAGTTAAATTCTATATTACATATTGAAAGTCAATCTAATTTAAATGAATTTAATTTTAATTTTATTTAACTATAATCAAATAATTGTAGTACTTGTTCGGATGGGATTGCATTTTTTGAAATTTCAAAATTTGGCAAATTGACAGTTGAATAATTAAATTGCAATTACAACATAATATAAAATTTTGGATGTTTAAATTTTGAATCAAAATTGAATATTAAATCTAGAATTATAATTAAAAATTCTAATTTTATAAATAATTTAGGGAGAGAAGGAGTTGCAATTAGAGTTTAAAAATTGCCTTTAGTAATTGAATAAGTAAAGATAATCTCTAATTTTGCTAATGAGAAAGGAGGAGGATTATATGTAGAATTGAATTCAAGTAATTATTTGATAAAAAATACAATAATTATGTATAATAAAGCTTAGGCAGGAGGTGGTATATATTTATCTGGGGATAATAATTTAAATAAAGAGAATATCATAAATACAATATTAATTTATAATGTTGGAGAAGTTTATGGAAATAATATAGTAGAATAACCAACTCATTTGGCTTTATAAATAAATGATAAAGAGTAACCATCAGTAAAACTAATTTAAAATAATACAGAATTAAATTTATTGAATTTATAAGCATATAAAACAATAGAGCAGAATATTCTAAGAATAACAAAGAATTTAATGATTCCAAGTAATTAAGAAATTTAAAATTATACTTTATTTTATTTAAAAGGGAAATAATACATAACACAAATAAAATAAATGTATCTCTATTTTAAGAATAGTTATAATGAAAATTTATTAGATTTTAGAGATTCATCGTGTATAGTAATTGATAAGGTTGTATCAAATACTTCAAATAAGAAGATAAATTTAAATGGAAATTAAATATTGTTAATTAATTAATAAAAAAACAGTTTTGATATTGGTCGATTATCTTTTAGTTTAGATCCATATAATTAAATGAAAAGTTATTTATAAATATAATTAAGTTGTAATTCAGGTTTATCAAACAAAACATTGAAATATATAATAAATTCAAATAGTTATAAATGTTAACTTGGAGAATTTTATGTAGATGATGGATGTTAAATTTGTAAATCAAATCAAGGATTTTATTCTGTAATATATGATAGTATAAAATGTTCTATATTTGATAAATAAAAATTTAAGAATATAACATCAAATATGATATAATTATTAAAAGGTAATTGGAGACCACATTATTTATCTGATTATTCAGAATAATGTTTTAAAAATTTAGAGTTTTGCATAGGAGGATGGGGAGTTGGAAATGAATTATGTAAAATTGGACATATTGGAGGTTTATGTGAGGAATGTGATATTGATAATATAATAGGAAATGGATAATACTTTAAAAATTAATGGGGTTTAAGTTGTTAATAATGTTTTGGAATTGATAACGGAATTTTCTCATTTATATTAGCTTTATTTTAGTATTAATTAATTTATATTATTTAGAGCTTTAATATCTATAACATTAAGTTTAAGAAGTATTCATAAATCAAATAGATTATTTGCATCTTTAAAGATAGGATAAAAATTTAGTAATATAATATTCAGGTTAAATTAAGGTATATTATAATTAAATATAAGATCATGAAAGCATATTACTTAAAATGTGGTTAAATTATTTATGGATATTTTCAGTGATATTTACTTTTAATATTAATTTTTAGTTTTAATTTACATTGATAGATACAACTAGTAATAGTTTCTATTTTATGGCTTATAATTTAGACTGTTATTTATCAAATTAAGGAATTCATTTAATTTATATGAGGATATTTATCATATTATAATTAATACTAATATAACTTAGCATAGTAATCGTAGCCTCAATTATATATACAAAATTTAAGAAATTAAAAATTGATTATAGTATTCTTTCAACTACATTACTTTATTTATTCATATTTAATTATGGAGGTTTAATAAAGATGTATAAAATACTATCTTTATATTTATAGGTTGTGTTCAATAGTCTCAAATAGAAAGATTTCTAATATGAATTATATATAAGGAGATGTCTCTTTATATTTTGGAACTTAAAATCATATCTTTTGGATTATATATTTAATAGTACCTGGATTATTTTTATTTGGTTGTCTTATACCTTTTGCTTTATTGTTATTGATGCACATTAAAAGACATTAATTTGACTTAATCAAATTTCGAAAACATATTGGTTATCTTATGAATGAATATAATCGCAATAGCTATTTTTGGGAATTTATTAAAATTACTACAAAAGCTGTAATTATATTAATTACTACTTATTTTTGAAACTAATATATTACTTAAAGCATCCTTAGTGGGATTTTCTTTGCTTGTTTATTAAATCTTAGCTGGAAATACTAAACCATATAATCTATCAAAATTTAATATTTTAGATTTAAGAACTGGCTAAATCTGTTCATTATCAATATTCTTAGCAACTATGAAATATGTAAGTGAAGAAATTAATAATCAATTCTTATCTGTAACTCTTTCAATCATTCTAATTATTCTTTGTCTTTAATTAAGTATTCCATTTATTAAAGATATACTTTAAGTGTATTATCAGAAATTTAAATCTCCATGTATAACATTTTTACTTTGTCTTATAAACTAAATTAAATAAAATTCTATGTTTTCAATTTATTTGAACCATCTTTTATAATAATGGAAACTAAAAGAGAATAGAGTTAAATTTATTTATTCAAAAATAAGATCAAACTTATTGCATTAATTAAGAGTCTAACCAGAATCAAGAAGGTATATTATTTATTTATTATTTACTAGAATATCATAATCTTAGTTCAATTTAATTTAAAATAAGACATTTCAATAAAGCACTTTTAGGTGTTTGATATAATTAAACTAAAATTGAACTTAGTTATTTTTACATTATTTTTATCATAATTTTTAAGTTTTTTGAATAAGAAATTTTTGAATTTTATATTATCAAATAATCATTTATCAAAATACTTTAAACTTCATTCAAGTTGCCTCAATAAACTTTTCAGATTATAAATATATGATAGTATAAAATGTTCTATATTTGATAAATAAAAATTTAAGAATATAACATCAAATATGATATAATTATTAAAAGGTAATTGGAGACCACATTATTTATCTGATTATTCAGAATAATGTTTTAAAAATTTAGAGTTTTGCATAGGAGGATGGGGAGTTGGAAATGAATTATGTAAAATTGGACATATTGGAGGTTTATGTGAGGAATGTGATATTGATAATATAATAGGAAATGGATAATACTTTAAAAATTAATGGGGTTTAAGTTGTTAATAATGTTTTGGAATTGATAACGGAATTTTCTCATTTATATTAGCTTTATTTTAGTATTAATTAATTTATATTATTTAGAGCTTTAATATCTATAACATTAAGTTTAAGAAGTATTCATAAATCAAATAGATTATTTGCATCTTTAAAGATAGGATAAAAATTTAGTAATATAATATTCAGGTTAAATTAAGGTATATTATAATTAAATATAAGATCATGAAAGCATATTACTTAAAATGTGGTTAAATTATTTATGGATATTTTCAGTGATATTTACTTTTAATATTAATTTTTAGTTTTAATTTACATTGATAGATACAACTAGTAATAGTTTCTATTTTATGGCTTATAATTTAGACTGTTATTTATCAAATTAAGGAATTCATTTAATTTATATGAAATCTAGATAATCATTCTTTTTCGAATAAATTTATTCTTAATATCTTCCCTAAATAACTGAGAAATTTACTGGTCGACTTCCAGAATTTTAAATATCTATACTGAATACTGAATGGATGGATACATTAACAATTAATTTTTTATATCTTTAGAGTATTCAAATCATGTTAATAATCAAGGAAATTAGTAATTTACATTAAAATAAATGATGAAAGTTTTACTTTTAGAAAGAGATTTAATTAGCTTTTGCTTTCGATCCTTGAGTCTCAGCAACAGGTTATTTATATAGTAAACCAAATATAACTTTTTAATTAATTTATTAGTGGTGTTGTGATTAAATTGTAAAAAATCTGTGTTTCTTCGGATTGCTTAGAATAATGTTTATGTCTTTGTCTTTTTTATATGTCCCCAATTTTATTTATTCTTTTTTAATATCTTGAATTTATCTCTAATGTTATAAACAATATTTTAATTAATAACAATTATTTAAATAGATTTTCATGCTTTTTGATATGTTTTTTTGTCTTACAGTATTGTTAGTTTTTATATGTTAGGAGGATAATTCCTTTAAATTGAACTTTTCTTTCTCTAATTATATTATTTCCTTATTTATAATGATATTATCAAAATGATCAATCTGCAATTTCTTAAAGAAACTTCTAACTTTTTTGAGAAAATTTTGTATACCAATTTTTTAATGTATATTTTATTATTTTTACTTTTATTTTATTCTTCAATATATTAAAATATTAAACTAAATTTAATCTATGAATTGATTAATTATTAAAAAACTTTGTAAAATTACTTTCATTAAAAAGTTGTTTCTTAATATCGATATTTATAATTAACGATGATAAACATTTAACAAAGAAGCAGTAATCATATTAATTTTACTTGAAATGATTGATTATCTTTTAAATATTAATTTTTTTGATAATTTTATGTTTCAGAATGAAATCAAATAATAGATGACTTTGATATGACTTAAGATTTCATATTAAATTTTCCAAAATTATTTAAATGATAAGAATTAAAATATATTTCTTAATCTATATTAACTCTATCGAATTCCATTCCGTCTAATGATATTTTTCCTTAGCTTTTAATGAGTATCAAAATATTTCCTCAAGTGATTTTAAAGAATACTAATTTTAATAATTGTTTTATATTCATAAAATAAAATTAAAAAATGGCTTGTTTACACCTTTTAATATTAAAACTGTCTGTCTTGTTTCTCATAGCAGAATTGATCTTAATAGACTCAAGTTTTGTTGATAATCCACTTATAATTACATGGAATTAGTATTATATTAGATAATGTTGTTCTTTATCGTCATGCTCAATGTGTGATACTTCCACTACTAAAACATATACTACATGTTCTAATGGACTTTAATATTTAATTATGAATTAAAATAATTACAAATTGATAGGTTATTACTCAAATAGATGCAGTAGATTTTAAATAATTTTCGACATATCCTATAAATACCCTGATTAAAATACTAAGTTTTCTGTAAAATTTTAAACATCTGATTAAACATAAACATGTTATTCAAAAGTATATACATCAACTTCTACATATTAATAATCAAATTAATTATGTTTTACAGAATAATCATATTATAACTATGATATTTATACTGTTGTGAGTAATTCCCTCAACAATGGTTAGAGTACTTATCAATATGCCATTTTCGAATTAGGAGCTAGTTCATAGACATAAGTTTTGCTTCGCAATATACTCATGTATGCAGAGATTTGTCATCCAGCATGCAAATCTTGCAATGGACCAAATTTTAATTAGTGTTTATCATGTTATGAGGGATCTGTATAATCAGGTTTATGTTAATGTAACGGATAATATTTTATTTAACCGATAACAGGATGCATAGTAGAATGTAGCAGAGATTATTATATTGGAAATTCAGATAAAATTTGTATCTATGATAAAAGAATAAAATCTAAATTCTAATATTTTTCGACAACTATTACACTAATTAGTCCTTTTATGTTAATTCCTAATATTTATAATTAAGAAAATATACAATAAATAATCACAATTAATTCTATCAATTTAATTGGTAAATTTAAATTTAATCAAGGAATGTATTATTAAATGCCTAATATAAACGCACTTTAATTTTTGAGAATTAGAATTACATTTTGTTTTTTTAATCTTTAAATAGGAAGCAAAATTAATATTTATTTAGATTATTAGCTATATTGCTAAATTGAAGCAATTTCTTCATCAATTTTTTAAGCTAATGATTGCACAACAATATTTTAGAATAGTATAGATTGTAATAAGATGAGAATAGAAAAAGTTGTTTAAGTAGCTACAACTTCACCATTATTAACTTTATAAGGGTAATTGTAATTAGATACAGAATCATGGGGATTCAATAATGTTACTATTGATGTTGGTTTATGTTAAGAAAATTGTAAATTATGTTCTAATTTTTATAAATGCTAAAAATGTGAAAATGGTTATCTTTTATATTAAAATAGATGTGTTGTTAATTGTCCAATACATTCATCTGAGTGTGTAGATTATGAAGATATAATCCCTTGTAATTTTTTATATAATTTTAATTTAGATTCAAAATATTTGGCAAAAGGATTTTATGATATGAATATGACAATCGATTAAATTAATACTTTTTATGATACAGTCACTAATCCAACAACAAATTTTTTAACTGGTTAGAAATTTTCTTTTTTTCGATAAAAGTTTGTATTAGGTGGTCTAATGGTCTGGAATGACGCTATTTATAGTAAAACTTGGTAAATTCTTAAGCCTCATTATGCTATAAGCATTAGATTTAATTTAACTTATGGTGATGAATTTTCAGGAAATTTTTACTATAAAATAGATAATTAACAAAGCGATGCATTTGTGAAACCTTTAACTGGAGGGTAAAATTTTATAGGTAGAGAGAAAGAAGAAAGAACAAGTCATTTTTACATTTATAAGGATCCTCATAAATCATCTCAATTGAGCTTTGAAGTCTAATGTACTGGTGGAATAGGCGATATTCGATAAGAATTTTGTGCTATTTCAGAGTATTTCATTATTGTACATTATGTATGAAATATATTAATAAATAAAAGTGTCCTCCATTTTGTTCTAATTGTGAAAGCGATAAAATTTGCAATACATGGGAATCTGGTTATAGTAGTTCTTAATGTGATGCAAATAAATATATATCTTTTAATTCTATAAGTTAAACATATAGTTGCAATAGTTGCACTTAAATTGGATGTGTAACATGTAATAGTTTAGAAGAATGTACATAATGTGATTTAGTTAAGAATTTTTAGTTATCAAATGGTGTATGTACATGTCATCCTTTTTATTATCTTTCTGGAAATTAATGTTTACGTTGTAATTAATATTGTGGAAATTGTAATGGAAGTAATAATAATTGTATTTCTTGTATTACTGAGCATTTTAGATATTTATCAAAAAATAATTGTATTTGTCAAATAGGATATTATGATGATGGTATAAATTTTATATGTTTGCCTATTTGTGGAGATTTATTAATAGTTGAAGGAGAAGATTGTGATGATGGTAATTTTAATCCTTTTGATGGATGTCATAATTGTAAATATTAATGTGAAGAGACGTGTTTAATATGTATTGAAGGATAATGCCTAATGTGTATAGATGGTTATGATATTGTTTAAAATAAATGTGTTTTAGTTTGTGGTGATAACCTTATTTTATATCCTGAATAATGTGAAGATGATAATTTAATTCCTTATGATGGATGTTTTAATTGTTAATTTTCATGTTCCTAACATTGCATTGATTGTTAAAATGGAAAATGTATTTAATGTGATAATTAAAATGGTTGGTATCTATTTGATGATAATACATGCTAAACAATTTGTGGTGATGGAATAAAAGTTTTATACAATGAATAATGTGACGATGGTAATGATAATCCTTTTGATTATTGTGATAATTGTATATTTTCAGATATAGCCAAAAAAAATAATTGTGAAATATTTATTTAAAATAGATGCATGAGATGTGAAAATGGATATTAATTAGAAAAAAGAACAAATAATTGTATAAAAAAATGTAAGGAGAATGAGATAGTAATAATAAAGGAAATTTGTGGAGATAATAACAATATGAAATATGATGGTTGTTATAAATGTGAACTTAGTTGTTAAGAGTCTTGTACAAATTGTAAAAGTTAAGGTTGTTTAGAATGTAATGTTAAAGGATGGAAACATAATATAAGTAAAATGAAATGTGAGACAATATGTGGAGATGGTATAACAATTTTAGAATATGAGGAATGTGATGATTAAATAAATAAAAATTGTTAAAATTGTAAATTCAAATGTTAAGAATCATGTGATATTTGTTTAAAAGGGGATTGTCTAAAATGTAAAAAAGGGTGGTATTTGAATAATTATAATTAAATTTGTTATCCATAAATAGGAGATTTATTGGTAGTTGGATATGAATAATGTGATGATATGAATGGAATTATGAATGATGGTTGTTATGAATCATAATATTAATGCTAAATAGTTTGTATTAGTTGTTATTTTGGATTATGTAAGAAATGTTAAGATGGATATATAATTATAAATAATAAATGTATAGAAATAAGTGGAGATGGTATAATAGTTGGTTAAGAAGAATGTGAAGATCAAAATTTAATTGGTTTGGATGGTTGTTTTTAATAGAAATATGATTGTCCATTATATTGTAAAATTTGTGTAAAAGGTTAATGTTTGGTTTGTAATTAAGAATTAGGATATTAATAATTTGATATATATAAAAATATATGTGTATCTATATGTGGGGATAATATAAAATAAATAGATGAAGATTGTGATGACGGTAATAATATTTAATTTGATGGTTGTTTTAATTGTTAATTTGAATGTGATTTATATTGTATTGATTGTATATAAGGAATTTGTTAATAATGTATGGATGGTTATTATTTAAATAGAAAACATAATAATTGTGAAAGTATATGTGGAGATGGAATAGTAGTTGGTAATGAATAATGCGATGATGGTAATAAAATTATAGATGATGGTTGTTCTGATTGCAAATTTTAATGTCATAAATATTGTATAGCATGTGTTCATGGTATTTGTGTAGAGTGCAGAGGAATAGGATGGGAAATAAATTAGATAAATGGATAATGTTAACCTTTATGTGGTGATGGTTATATTATAGACTATGAATAATGTGATGATGGTAATGATATTAGAGAAGATGGATGTTTTGAATGTTATTTTGAATGTTAAAAAGAATGTGCAAAATGTATTGAAGGAGAATGTATGGAATGTGGAATTTTAGGATGGGATTTAGAATAAGGTAGATGTATTCCACATTGTGGAGATAAATTAGTTGTTGGAGATGAAGAATGTGATGATGGTAATCTAATTGCTTTTGATGGTTGCTATTATTGTAAATATCATTGTTAAGATTAATGTACTGATTGTAAAAAAGGTATATGTTATGAATGTAAGATTGAAGGATGGAATATATTAAATCATATATGTTATCCAGTATGTGGAGATGGTTATGTTGTACAAGGATACGAATAATGTGATGATGGTAATTAATTATAATATGATGGATGTTATTTATGTGCATATTAATGTGAATTTAAATGTACTAATTGTTAAATGGGTATTTGTTATGAATGCAATCAATTTGGTTGGATTATTGATAATTATAATAAATGTATACCAATTTGTGGAGATGGTATTATTATAGGAAATGAATAATGTGATGATATGAATAATGAATATAATGATGGTTGTTTCTAATGTTAAAATGTTTGTGATCAATATTGTACTAATTGTTTTAATGGAATTTGTTATTCATGTCAACCTGGAAGATTTGTATATGCAAATGTTTGTGTTTCTTTTTGTGGAGATGGTTATTATGTTCCTTAAAATGAAAATTGTGATGATGGAAATGATCTAAATAATGATGGATGTAATTAAAATTGTTAAATTGAAGAAAACTTTAATTGTATTAACACTATAGGAGCATCATCTAAATGTTTTTATTCTAAAAAACCTAATATCTAAATTAACATACTTACAACAAATCTTTAAGATTATTAAGAAGTAGAAATCACTTTTGATTAAAAAGTTAAATATTCAAATTTAATTAAAGGAGATATATTGAATAATATTTCTACTAATTTAACATCTCTTCTAAATAATGAATTTAATATCATTAAATCTATTTCTTAACAACCTTTTGATTAAAATGAAGGAGAAATAAAAATTAATTTAAAAATCTACATTTATGTTCCAATTATAGATCCTTAATTAAATATAATATTTATTGATGATCCTATCATTTCTACTTTTAATTAATCCCTTAAATAAAACTCTGTTCAAATTTAATTACTCACTCCTCTTGTACTTACTGAAAATTAAAAATATATTGTTTTTAAAACTAACTAATTTAATGAAATTGTTATTTACTCTCTTGTTGGATTATCAACTTTATGTTTAGCTACAAGCTCTTAAGATATTTTCTGGAATCTATTAGACATGTTATAATTTTTATCATATATTAATTATATTAATGTCTAATTCCCTTCTAATTTAAATATTTATTTTGATGTCTTTAAATTAGTATCAATTCAACCTCTATTAAAACTTGGAGGATTTGATACAATTTATGATCTCTATGATAATTAAACTAAAAATCTCATTTAAGTTCAACATTAATTCAAAAATACTGCTACAAATCCCTTATTTTTATTTAATATTTTTAGCTTTATTTTATTCTCTATCTTAGGATATTTAGGATATCAAGTTGCAAATTTATTAAAAATATTAATTCATAACTATGGAGCATCTATTGCTTCTCATGTGAATTTGTATATTGGAAATAAAATGAGATCTTTTTAACATTTCCTACAAAAAAAAGTATCAAAATTTTATTACAATGGCTTATTAAGAATTTATATGTCTAATTATTACGATTGTTGTTTTGCAGCTGCCATACAATTAGCTTACTTTTCATCAAATACTTATTTTATAACTATCAACTCATACTTTTCTCTTATTACATATTTTTTATGCTTTTGTACACCTATCTATTTTATCTAACTCAATCATAATTTTCAAAAAAAAGCTACATTTAAAAATATAAATCAATTTGAAATTTTATTTGAAGGAATCAAATAAAATCAAACATATTGGAGTCGTCAATACAATTCTATACTATTATTTAAAAAATATCTATTTATATCCATTATTGTATTTCTGTAAAAGGAAGGATAACTTTAAATTATTTTAATAGCAATTAATTAAACTTTATTCTCGTGTTATTTAATAGCAGTTAAACCTTTATCAAATAAATTTGAAAATTATAAATGTTAAATTACTGAATCTGTTTAAATATTTAATGTCTTAACTTTTTTAGCTTATTCAAATAGCATTGAATTAGGATTATCCTAACAAGGATGCATCAATCTTGGATGGGTAAATATATTTTTCTCATCCTTTATTTTAGCAATTAATCTTTATTTTGATTTAATGTAATAGCTGAAAATGCTCATACTTAATTGTAAATCAAAATTTATCTCTGTTTAAGAAAATAAATAAAATTTATAAATTGGAATTTGATTAATAGAATTTAAGTTATCAAATATTTTATTTTATCAATCAATTCTTTATTAATTTTTCATTTTTTTAATTAAATATAAAGAAAGTTATTTCCTATTGAAAGCAATTTTACTATTTTTTAAAAAGATTATAATAAATAAATATTTATCATTTACTTCATCTTACAATTATACAAAAGTAACAACAATGTTTCTTTAAATTATTAAGAATTTATGATAATATTTTTCATAATTATAAGAATGATCCTATATGCAGAATTAATTAAATTTAGATTTAAGTTTACCTATTGAAGTAAAAATATAAAAAATAATTTATAAGTATCAATTTAAAACAGAATGTAATAAATGGAAATTTGCCAAAATATCTTTTTCAGTGGTCTTATTCTTTATATTTATAAGATTTTTAAAACCAGAGGCAAAGAATCGTTTAATTTAATGAAAATTATAGATATCATTTTGAAAAGAAAGGAACTACATCAAAATAGTTTCTTGATCGTGTTCAACTTTAAAAAAAGTCTTCAAATAAATCTATATTCTAAAATTTATTTATATTTAATTTTCGATCCATCATTCTATTTTTTTATTTTATTCTAATAATTTATTAAACATATTATTATAATTTTTAATATAAATTTTTATTCATAATAGTTAACAACCACAGTTAAATTGAAAAAATAAAATAATTTAAGTTCAAAACTAAAATTTTAGCAGGCTAAGTTATTTTTTTTTCTGTTAGATAGCTAAATTTGATTGCCACAAAAATTTTGTAAATTTTACATCGTTTAATAAAAATTGAAAAGATAAATAATAAAAATTTATTGAAATCTTTTGGATCTCAGATGTAAGAAGATCGAAGAGAAGAATATTTATGAATATAGGACTGAGGGTCACTTCTTTTTTTGAAGAGAAAAAAAGTTAGTTAAATGTTTTTTAATAATCCCCAATCTTTATAGGTATTTTTCTTTAACTTTACTAATAATATGTAAATAGATTTAGCTGTAAAATTTTTTCAATATATTTAATTATTTTATAAACTTTTATAATAATAAACATTTAAGATCTCAATTAATTATATCTCAAATGTATTTGATGATAATTTTGAAAAAAAAATCATCAAATTTATTTTAATATATTGTTATAAGTATTTTAATAGATGACTACAAATATATTTTCTTCATACTATCCCTTCTTATAATTCCATTAACTTTTTAAATATGAGTTGTGTCTATTATATCTAAAAAAATTGACTGTTTAAATTTTAGACTCAATCTAATTCAAATCTGATTGAATACCAAGGATATTCAACGAAAAAAATTTCAAAGGGCTTTTTAATAATATTAGATAAAAAGAGATTAATTATTGTTTTTTGGTTCATCTGTTATCTAAATATATTAAATATGTGATAGAAATAGGAAAAATGATATTATGTTATTGAGAATACTAAAACAATAAGAAAGACATATTTTAGTGAGAATAAGACTAGATTAGATAGTTAATAAATAAATTATGTTAAAAATATTGAGAGAATGTTAATGATTTATTAAATTAAGATTTAATAAAAAAAATATCTTATAAATATTTAAATTTCTTTTGGAGGGAATTAGATGCATTTTTCATAAATTTGAATTTAATTTATAAAAGATAGTAAATAACATTATTAAGTTGGAAAAAGGAAATGAATATAATATTGGATTTAAGATAATTCTTTTCATTCATATACCTTTGTATAATCTGATCTATTTGTATTTTCTGGATGACAGCATAGACAACATGTTAATACAAGAAATGCACCAAAAAGGATTGCGAAAATAATGAAAAATATATTAGATGTCGTTATGGTTGATTATATTTTATCTACTAATGCTTAAAAACATGGTCGACTTAAGTTATATATTATTTAATTACTTCGGACTTACACCAGAATTAACATCACTAAATAATTTAATAGGATATCCTTTACACCATCCAGAACAATCTAAGCTTTCTTCAAATGATTACAAAGTATTTGCCAATTCCTTATCTAAGGTTTAGATTTAAGGGCATTATTGGAATCTTATAGGCTAATAAATATATATTTCTCAATTTTTTACTTTTTTGTCATCATCCTTTGAAGATTTTTATATATAATTTTGAAGTTCTGGAGTAATGTCCTTTTTATAATAGCATTCACAACCATCTTTACATAAGTATTGATTAGCAGAAATATAAAGTTGGTCATCTTCAATACCAGTACATCCATTTGAACCAGCAAAATCAGTTAAAGCAGAAGCTAAAGTAAAGACGAAAACTAATATAAGGAAAAGGGTAAAACAACAACAGTTTCCTACATTAAAACAAGTAAGTAAACATTTGTTTTTTTTTCTAGCTCCTATTATACCTGCTATTGCAATTGCCATAATCAACACTGCTATTAACCAACTAACTAATATTGGTATTGTAAATGATATATCAACCTACAATATAATAAAAATTTTAACCCCATTCTAACTTTTAATTTCCTCATTTAGTTGAGATCCTACTACTGAAAACATTATAGCTCCTATTACACCCAAAATTCCAATTACTAACGTAAACCAACCAGCAACTTAAATTGCAGTCTTTAGAATAGGAAAAGGTAAGCACATTTTTATAAATTTTTATTTATCATTTATTTAGAATTCTATCATTCACATTTATATCTAAAAATATATACTAAAATCTCTTAATTTCATTCCACAAAATATAAATTCATAAATTTATCAATTAAATTTAATATAAAATTCTAAAAATTCAAAGTTTTATCAACTTACAGTTTTGAATTGATAAATACTAATTCGAATATTATAAAAATAGATTGTATTCTGTATTCTGATAATCCTCAAGCAGTCTATTATAATTTATAATTGAATTAACCCACAACTCTATTAGACAATTTTACATAAAGCTGTAATATTATATTAATCTATGGATTTATATTTAATACTTTATTTTGACAAATTAGTTCTTCCTAAAATTAAAATTTTTTATAAGCTATTTGCAATCAATCCATAATTTCTCATGAAAAATAATGGAATTTATTTTTACACTCCATATCAAACAATCAAAAATCATTACAAAACTAAGCAAACTATTTTAATGTTAATATATATTCTTAACCATTTTTAAACTACAAATATCTGCATTATTACTAAGTTATTTTAAAATCAATATATTTATAAACTACAAATTTAATTAACTCCATTTTCAATAATAACACTATTAAAGTGATAATTTCATATTAAGATTAGATAAAAAGAAATAAGAAATAAAAAATTTCATCTAATCTCTTTTGAATCAAAATAATATATATGTAATTTAATAGAATATAAATAAGGATTTTATAATAATTATTTTGATCAAATAGAGAAAATAAAAATAGATAAACAATGTAACTACATATAAAATTGATTAGAATAGAATATTATAATAATAAAATTTACAAAATTGTCTTAAAATCAATAAGGATCAATATTACCATTAAGAACTATTGGGAAATATTTTTCTAAAATCTTTTATGCATTGCACTCTTATAAATAATCAATAATGGCATATATAATAATAAATACTTATAGGGTATCAGCATAATAAGATGAAAAGTTATTAGAAATCTAAGAATATGATGATATTGAATTACAACAGATTCCTTGATATGGGTATTAGTCTAAGAATTAGAATACCAATCAATTATAATAATCAATTAATTTGATTCTAACAAAAAAGTCAAAATCATTAATTAAAGATTTCTTCTATCTCTCTTTATATTATATTGGTATTTGTAATTATTATTATAAAGTTTAGAAATCAATGTCTTTTAATTTAATTTTCTTGATTTCCAAACATATTCTTTTAAGACTTCTTTGGAATTTATTTGTCCTTTGATATCATATATTCTTAAATTCTGATTCTATGCATAAATAATATTTTTCATATTTCTAGGATTTAAGACTTAAATAATTTAAAAATATTCTTTAAATTTTATCTAATTAACTTATAAATACCATATATAGGTGAAATTACAGTATCTTTTTAATTTGAATGGATAAAGTTAGGAATAAGTTTTTATGATAATAACTAATTCTTAATCTGATAATTTTTTAATAATTATTTTGTTATCATGAGTTAAAAGAAAAAACTCCCATCTGGTCCTTTAATTTTTTTAATTTTAATCCCGATTTAGAATAAGATCAAATCTTTTTCTCATAATTTCAAAAAAATTGTTGGAGCATAAACTATCATTTTGGATTGTTTAAAATTAAAATTAATTCTAGCTGCTAATTTTATCTATATTTTATTTCTTCAAAAATTCATCAATATTTAAATTACAAGGTAACTTTAATTTAGAAATTTCATTGCTAGCAATATATTCATTTATAATTATTAATCTGTATATTTTCTAAGAATTTAAATTTATTCAAATTTCATCTGATTGGATTAATTTTTCTATTAATCTGATTCACAAATAGCTCTAATACCAAAAATAACTTTATTAATTGAATCATATTTTAAATTTTAATAAATAGTTTCTAAAAAATTAGAATCATCTTATTCTAAAATGATAAATTATAAAGATTTACATAATTAAATTTTAATTTTAGGGTCATTTTATCTTAAAAACTAACTCCAGGTAAACATAATTTAATTAAATTTCCAATAGTTATAAAAATTACGAGAATTCATTAATGAAAATATGAGCAATTAAATCCTGCTATAGTAAATGATATTACTTCAACTGTCCAAATTATACATGATCTAATAATATTAATTAAAATTATCTCTCTATTCTTTATATTTTTATCATCATTAGGATTGCATTTATGAAATATATCATTGTATATACTGAAATTGGAATATAATAAAATAAAAGTAGTATATTAGCAAAAAGAAAATCCTGAATGAAATTCAAAACTACCAGTTTCCAAATATTGATAATCCATTATTATTTGTAGAATCTGCTATAATTGAAAAAGAAATCATTTTTATCAATGCTAATGAATTTCAAATCATTTTAAATTTTGGAATCACTTTCATTGATTTTTTAAAGTTATCAATCATAAATAAATGCAAAATACTACATTATAAGATACTTCTCCAATTCTTGCAAATATATTAAACATTCAATTTAATCTACAAAATGGATAAGAACTTCATGGATTATCCTTATAAATTTAATAATATATATACTTAATATTGCATCTGAATTGATATAAAAATACTTTATCCTCAAACCTCTTTCCTGAATGAGGATATCTTATAAAACTGTATGTAATACATATTATACAAATAAATGCTAAGATGCTAATTTATAATTAAATTCTTTTAATACAAATTATCAGAATTATATATTAATCTCATGGTTTGTCTTTATCTTTTCAAATAGTTCCTCATCTGTAAAATCATCGTAACAGTAAAAAACATCATTTTCACAATAACTACTTAAAACCTAGCCTATTTATAAAAAATAGAAAATGATTTTATCATTAATATATGTTAATATGTCAATATTCAAATCGTATTCATTTATCTATCTATAATATATTTTCTTTTATTTTTTTAATTTAAGAAATCATTTAATTTCTTATAGTTTTAATTGAGTCCTTATTTTAATAATCAATTATAATAATTATACAATTTTTAATAAGAAATGACATAACATGACCATATAATTAAAATTACAGAGTTTATAATTCGATCAAAATCATTAATAATAATTAGTCATAATCCAAATTATTTATTGATATTGAACTTTAATAATTATGATATTCATAATTATTAGTAATTTCTCTTATTCAAAATTTAATTCTTATTATATCAATAGCAGATTTCTAAAAAGTCAAAATTAAAAATGAGAAATTGTTTAAATGATAACATTATTATTTCTATTTTTTCTTAGATTCAATTTAAAATCCTTCATTCATCCCTCTTAACCTTTTATTTTAGGTATTTTTTAATTTTAGTGAGATAATTTCTTTATTTTTGGTATTGTTAATAGTAAAATAAAAAATGATATGGTTTTAGTTTATTATTACCTATTATCATTTAATAAATAGATATATGATTCTATGAAGTTCTGATTATTAGTTAGAATACGTTTAAAGTAATAGGTTACTTTGATTTATGTTAATGTCCTATAAAGTTTAGATAAATACATTTTAAATAAAAGTTAATTATTTAAAACAAATCTAGAGTTATTAGGGTTGTTGTAAGAAACAATTATAAAAATGTAATTTTTGTATTGGATATAAAGTTGCATATAATTTAAGTTAATAATATACAACTATGAATTTATTGTAATATTATTTTTTAGTGAGTTTTTTAAGTTATCTGTAAGTGTTGTTAGAGATTATTAGTTATGTTAAGGACATAATATATAGATGATAAGATATAATTAAATTTGGGTGGAAATATATTTGATTATAGATATAAATGGATTAAAATTAGAAAATAATTAGATCGGTAATTGATGGATTAATGGAATAATGATATTTAAATAGGATTTGATAAATGAAACAGTTAATTATATTATATTAAAAATATACTTATGTAAAGTATATTGAATGCAGGAGTATAAAAAATAACAGAAGGAGTAAATGATGGGCTTAATAGAGGACTTTCTCGAACATTTAGTAAAAGAGTTCACAATTAAAAAGGAGAGAAAAAAGGGTAAAGAAAAGTGAAGTTCACTTTCAAACCTGAATTGCCTTTGGAAGTGTAATTTAATAAATTATATGTATGTTGATGTTAATTTTAAGGACTATTGCGATAATCATAATCGTAGAAGACTATAAATAAAAGGATTTAAAGGTACATTTAAGATAGAAAATTGGATTAATATTGAAACTAAATTACGTAGTTTAGAAGGGTTAAAAGGAATAGGATTTGTAGATACATAGTTAGATAAAGCTCATTTAGATGTATTAAGTAGTTGGATTTCATGGGTTGAACCATAAAAATTAATCATTGAATTATAACAGAATGAACTAGATAATGAAGATTGTGCTGATTTTCTTTATTTTTTATTTGAAAGAAACATTGATGTTCGTAGTGTAAATATATAAAATATCATAGATATATATTATGGGTAATCCAGGAATCTATAAAGGAGTCCTATTAAAAGAATTATAACAATATTTAATAAAAAAATTTGAGAAAAATATGATACATTATTATAAATTGATTAAAAATAAATAAGCATTTTCAATTGCTATTATTAGATTATTAAGAAATAAAAGTGATGAATAAATATAAAAAAGAATCAAAAGAGCAGAAAGTAAAATTGATTAAACCTAATATTACAAACTAATTCTTAAAAATTGTTTTACTGATAAAAATTGGAAAGGTTTTCAAGATCTAATTTAAACCACTTATAAAGAAGATAATTTAGAATAATTAACTTATCTAGATATTAGTAATAATTACTTAGGTACTTAAAATGCATTTAATAATATGTGTGCATCAATGTCATCTGCAAAAGGTTTACTGGTTCTTAAAATTGCCAATTAACCTTTAATTCATAATTCTTAAACTGTTGAATTATTAATGGGAAACAGATATGATAATCTAAAACTTAGAGAACTTGATATTTCTGATAATAAAGATATTTTAGAAAAAACATTCAAAGCATTATCAGATAATATATTTAAATAATGTAAGATAATTTCATTCACAGGAAGTATGCCTCAATAATTATCAACATTATTTAAATTGTTTGTTTTCACCGAGGCATTTGCTGATAAAACTAAAGAAAGTAAATAACTATACAGAGAAAGTATATTATTAAATTTATCATTTTAGAAAAAAAATATAGAAAAGATTATCTATAGGTTTTAGATTTGAGTAGTGTTGAAAACTATAATAGACATGATTTAGTTGAGAAACTATTAATTAATACAGTATTCACTGAATTTACTAATATTAGTACATTACGTATTTTATTATTTATTATAATTAAGATGTATAAAATTTTGATGTTGGAAGATGCTAAGCTTATATTAAAGCTAAAAGGAAATTTATAACTTATATGGAAAAGAAGAAAAAAGAAGATCCATTTTTTAGTAATTACAAACTTCCTTTAAAACATATAGTTTATCCTAAATAATCTTATAGAATGGAAATTTAAACTAAAAAAGAATTCTTTTTAGAATACATGTTTACAGAAAAAGGTAGTATTGTTGAAATAGAATCAATTGAAATATAAGCAAATACATTTAGATAGTCAAATAGAGCAGAAGGTTTGCAAGAAGCATGTAATGAAATTAATGAGAAAACAAAAAATAATCCAGATATTAGATACACTATTAAGAAAATATCTATGAATGAGGGAGATTATTAAATGGATTTTAATACAATTAAATGTTATTTATGTTAGAAATCAGTCTAATTAGAAGAATTCAGCTATTTTAATGATTCAATGATATTTGAATGGAATTCTTGGTATGAAGAAATTATTTCATATTGTTCTTAATTAAAAGATTATTAATATCATAGTTTAAAAATACTAAAACTTTAAAATGTTTCAGATATTAATATTGAAATCAATTAATTTGTTGAATTGTTTATATTTAATCCTAAAATTTAACTTAAAGAATTATAAGTGGTTGATATCTAAACAAACAATAATAGTGAAAATAGAGAATCTTTAAAAAATGCAGTCTAAAAGGCACAAAATGTTAGTTTATAAAAGTTATACTTAGGACCATTATAATAGACAGAAGGAGAAGAAATATTTTTTGAATATGTAATTTTTAATAATAATGTAAATTTACTAAGTTTAACCTTAACAAATATCAAAATTATTTAACATTTGGATACAATTGAAAAATTAATAAAAAATAATTCAGTTGGTAATTAACCACTTAGATATTTGACTTATCTTGAAATAGATAAAATTGATATAGAAAAAAAAGAAGATTGGAAAAGGTTTCTTAGTATTTTTTTCATCAATTAAAAATCAACTTTATAAACTTTAAAAATAAAAGATAAAGTACTTAACTAATAATTTTCAGATGCACTTAATTAATTATTATTACCATATGAATAAGAAGTTATTAAATAAAAATAAGAATCTGGAGAAATGGAGGGAAACACTAATAAATTTAATATACTTTCTTAAACATCAAATATGCTTTCTTAATTATAAAATATGCCTTCTTAATCATAAGATGAAAGTGTATTATTACCATTTACATTAAGAGAATTACATTATGAAAATTGCACTATTTAAGATGATATTTTTAGCGGATTTTTAGTAATATGTGAATTAAATAATCTATCTATTATTAATTGTTAAGAGTTTGATCTTGGTATTAAAAAGACCAGAGAAATAATTAAGAGTCTATAATTAGAAGAATATTATTCATATAAAATTAAAAAATTCTCATGTGAAAGAACTAAGATTTCAGATGTGACAACATTTAAATCATTAATTGAAGTGATTGTCTTAAATTAAAATAGATAATTATTAGAATATCTTAATTTAGATAATTGTTAATTAAATGATGAAATGATATAAATCCTATCTAAGTAACTTCTTGTAATTAAAGAAGAATAAAAATTTTACAATAGAGTATTTCTTTTAAGAGATATTAATTTAAGTAACAATAATTAATTATCTGCTAACTCATGGTTATAACTTTGGGATGTTTTATTAAATGAAAGTAAATTAGAAAAAAAAGAAGATGTTCCTGGATAATAATCAATCATTATTGCTAATCCATCATTACTATTAAGTACATTTGAAAAAGACAGAGATAATATTATTAATGAAACATAAAAAATTATAGAAACATCATAATTATTTTTAAAAGAAAAAACACTAAATAATTATAAATTGTTCACTCCTTAATTTCCAAAATAAATTACTCGTATTTTATTAAAAATGGATTTTCCAAATCTTAGTGATACTTAATTAAAATTAGAATATTATCGATTAATTGTTGGTTTTATTATTCATCCTGAAAGTTAATTAATAAATTTAGAATTAGAAAACTTAAATATGATTGTATTTATTAAAGCATGTTTAGAAGCATATGAATATTCTAAATTCTATTTAGAATAAGCATTAAAATAATCTAAATAAGATCATAAAAGTTAATTAAAATCAATTAAATTTACAAATTTAAAAGCTAATGATCTTGAAAGCACTGAAAAATTTGTTTAAATGTTTCTATGTTCTAAATAAATAGAATTAAATAAACTATAAATATCTGGCTGTACTTAACCAATCATACATATAATCTTGTAGAACATCAATAGAAGAGATATTTATTATTTAGAAGAATTACTTCTACCAAATCTAGAAGAAACTTTAAATTTAGAAGATACAATTAATTATTTTTAATAGTTAATATTTTGTGAAAAAATGCCAATAAAAATACTTAACTGTTCTCCAAATTTAGCTGAGATGAACGATGAAACAATTAGTAAATTTACATTTTCAAATATCAAAACAGAATAAATAACTCTAAAATATAAATAAGACACATCAAACAATGTAAAATAATATAGTTTTCTTCTATTTAAATTGATTTCATATGGATTATAAGAAATCACATTTGATTTAACTGATTGTACATCATTGCTTTAAGAAACTTTTAAATAGTTAAATGATTTTGATAACTTAAATTTAAAGAAATTAATTTTCAAAGGAGATTTAAAAATTAATAAAAATTTATTTGAAAAACTATCTCTTTTATTTGGTAAACTAGAATTAATTTAAGTGTAAAAATTACTTTTAGAGAATGAATTTGAAATATATGATATTTGTTAATTAATGGATGTACATAAAACTAACAATCTAAGATTTGATATAAAATAATTAACATGTAATAATCCAGGAGAATTTTTTAAGAAATTTGTTTTTAATATAAATGTAGGAATAACAGAGGTTGTTTTTAGAGATTATAATGTGTTGAAAAATAAGTTTGAAATATATGATCTAGGATAAAAAATAAGATATTTTAGTTTAAATATGGGTTTATTATATAATTCAAATGAATAATTAGATGTAAATGCATTATAAACAATAAGTTCAATGTTAATATATAATGAGTCTAGTAATTTAGAAGAATTAATATTACATTAATGTCATTTTAAGATAGCAGGAATAAAAGCACTTTGTTAACATTCTAATACTTTTAGAGAGAAAGTATAGAGTGAGGGAAGATAAAAAAATGCTCAATTGAAATTAAAACGTATAACTCTTTATTATTCATTATATATTGGAGATGATGGAGCTGAATTATATAATAAAGAATTGTTATATTTTGAATATATAAATGTAGAAAGATTTGAAGTTTAAGTAACTAATTGGAATGATGCAATGACAAATAGTTTATGTTTAGCTGCTTAAAATTGGTTGTAATTTTAAAAAGATTAAAAAAGAGAATACTAAACAAAATATCCACTAAAGTATTTAGATATAGGAAGAAATGAATTTGTAGATGAATAAGAATCTTGGTAGAATTTTTTAAAAACATTTGTTTTTACTGATAATACTCCTTATTTAGAAACATTAAATATACACTTTATGGCTTTGAATGATTTAAAGACAAGATATATTGTAAATGAAGCACTTTTATTCTTTTCAAAGAAATCATCAGACTATAAATTTAATTTAAAGAAAATTAATTTTTCATAAAATAATTCATTAACTCATTTAGGATGGTAGAATTTATTTAAAAACTTTTTCTTTCATCCTAAAGTGTATTTGGAAGAATTAAATATGATTAGTACTATGTTAGATAGTTAAATAAAATTAGATGTTATAGCTGAAGTAATAAGAAATAGAGCACTTGCATCTCCAAATAAAAAGGTTCCACTTCATACGTTTTTATGTTACAATGTTAGTCTTAAAGATTCAATTTCTAATTATTTATCAGAATAACCATAAAATTATAAACTTCCATATGAATTACCAGTAGAAATAGAATATAACGATAGTTTAAACTTTGGATATTTTGATGGAGTTCCAGAATCCTATGGTGATATATTATAAATGTTTTAAAGAGTACTTACATTAAGATAGAAAATAGTCTATCTTAAAGATTGGAAACTTACAAAATCAAAATTTTCACCATATCATTTAAATATAAGTGATCATTATTTAAGAATTCTAAATTAATATTATGCTATGAAAGGAAATGACTTTGTTGATATTTATATAAGTTTACAATCTCTAGATAATTTTGCTAATTATTTTGGATACATAATTGAATATCCAGGATCACCTTATCCATATAATTTATTATTCTAATAAAAAACTTATGATTTTTTAAAAGACAAACAATCTAATATATATAAAATAAAAATCATTCAAACAGAATTTGCTGAATTAGAATAAATCAATTAAATCTAAATACTAAAAATATGGGAGAATATTAAACATCATAGTACTAGTATTGATTAAATGTAAATAGAATATGATTTAAATGATGATCTAATAGATGAAATGTTTAAATAAGGTTATGATGAAAGAGATATCATATCTTTAATAAGAATTATACCTCCTTCTAAAATTAGAATACAAAACTCTCTAAGTATTTAAGCAATTAAAGGAATATATTCTATACTTTATGATACCTATTATTTTAAATATGCAATGATAAGTTATAGTTTTGATAATTTCCTCAACATTGGTATTGGATATTCCTTAAGAGAAATCTTTTATAATTATAATGCAACTGGACCAATACGTAGATTCATGAAAATGTTTTTCTATAAATTCTTTAATTTCTTTGTCAAACCCACAAAGAAATATATATTTAATGATGAAGTAAAGCAACTAAACAATTATTTATCCTAATAAAAGTTTTACTTCTTCATTATAGTAATAACAAATATTCTATTTTTCGTAATAACTTTAGCTGGTCCCTATTTGCTTACATATAAATTAATAGATAGAGATCCAACTTAATTAACTAAATCTTATATATGTACCAATGGAATCAGTAAAGAAGCATCATATTTATATTATGCTTTTGCTCTAGTCACACTGATAACAGAAGCAATCTTATATTATAAAGTTGCCTAAATAGTTCCTCATCATACAGATAGAATTATTGTTAACAAGATAACATATCAAGAATAATAAGACAATCCAAATCCATAAAAAAATTTGGATTTTATTTAAGAAAAATTAGCCAATAAGATTCTTCCTGCATCTGAAGAGGATTCATAAAATATCTAAAAGAAATCATCTACTTAATAATAGCCTTAAATGCTAGAAAATAGTGTATTCTCAAGAATGGCTACAGCTGTCAATAAAAGAATTACATCTGTTACTGGTAAATTTACATCTGCTGTTACTGCATAAGCTGAAGATTTCACTTAATCTAAATGGGGAACCTTTTTTAGTTATACCTTGACATTACTATCATCATAATTATTTAAATTCGATCTCTACAATGATGTTGTATTCATTTTGAATGCCTACAATTGCGAAGAATTCATTGTCTTTGTTATAGCGCTTATTACTACTGCTTTCTCTTAAGGAATCTTTATCTTGTATTTCCTTTATCTTATTGGTGTCAGAGTAGTTCAAACGTAAAAAACTGCTAAATTACTTTCAAGTAAATTTATTAATGATTTCTATGCTATCAGTTTTCTAGGTAGAAATGCAGCATTATCAGCACTTCTAGATACAACTGCTCCCTTTAATGTTATTATCATTCCCAACACAAGAATAGGAAGATATTTATTCCCTCATCATGCTGGAAAAGCAATGAGTAATTTGGTTAAATCTTATTTCTTTTAATTTTTATGTGAAGATTTACCTTAAACTCTTTTATAAATGTACTTTATAGTCAGTCAAGCCATCAAAAGAACAAAAGAACTTCAAGTCTAAGTATACATTTCTATTTGTACTGCAATATTCACTGCCATATTATCATTTTATAAGTAATCTATATCCTTTATTTTTTAGGTTTTTATCAATCAGACCCACCAATTTATTATAAGATGACTTTGATCTATTATCAGTCAAATTATCTAATGGATATAATTAATAAATTTAACATGCCTTATAATAAGAACAAACTCAAATTTAAAGTTTTATTGATTTATACAATAATTCTGATCAAGAACTTGTCCAAATTGAATAATCATAAGAAGAAAGATAGTCTTTATTAAATTGAGTTTATTTATAATTTATACTCTAGTAAACAGCATTCCTTAATTTTATTATTATAAATTATTAATTTAACCTCCCTTTAATCATAAACTCTAATTATTAAAAAATTGAAATAAACATTATACACTCAAAGTAGATCTTTTAAATAATATAAAAAATTTCTTTTAAATTATTTATTTGAGCATAATTATTATAAGATATGAATATCCTCTCTAAATTTATTATAATGTTATCACTCTAATTTCAATATTCACGTATCAATTCCAATTTTTTTATTCAATTCCATTATTCTCTAGCATAAACATATTTAATTAATAATATAAAATAAGTATTACTTATAAAAATGGATTTATTTTCTATAATTAATAAAAATTTTATGTATCAAAATAATTAAATTCATTTTATTTAATAGGATTCTCAATAAACTTTATTAAGACAATAATAATCAAATTCGTTATCAAATTCTGAAGGAATGTTATCTAAGTATTTTATGTATCTCCTTCTTTCAAGTGAAAGGAGTTCTGCATCATCATCATTTAATAGAAAAGGTTCTGTTCTCGAAGGAGACTTAATTTGAGAAGCAAGATCATTTTCTTTAAAATATGTAAGGTTTAATTTTATTTTAATTAAATGCGATTTTGCAAGTTCTTATCTTAATTTTGAAGATCTTATTATTAGATAAAGTCTTGATATTTCATATAATAAATTCATGTAACTGAGCTTCTATTACATTTGTTTTTTAAGTTTTTCATACATTTTTTGGTATTCTTCCTTATCTACCTCAATTTAATTGAAACTAATTTTTATTATTTTCCTTCTCCAATTCTTTGTTATTTGAATCTTTTAAAATTCAGGATAATAAAAATTAATCAGCTCATTTAATATCTATTAACTTAAAGAATACTGATTTAAGTAGATAATTATATATTTTATTAGAAATAGTACTGAAACAATAGAACCAATATTAGCTAAAAGATCTCCAAATTGTGGATATTGAAATACGGTTTTTGTTTGAGTTCCATTCATTGTAACATAGATAGTCGCCAAAATTTCCATCTAATAAATTTATTAACACTTTTTTGATGAAAGAGTTTAAGTTTGTACATTTGCTCCACTTATATATTCTTTTATTTTAGAATTTCCAAATAATAAATAATCTTCAAGCTCATAATAATTTGTTTAAAGAAATGTATTTATAGAATAGCAACTCTCTTATTCAACTTCAATATATACATCCTGAATTGTAATCTAATCTGATCCATCTCGTGAATCCAATGTTGTTGATTTAACTTGTAGACCAAAATAATTAAAGCGCTATTTAAAAAATTCTTCTTTTAATTCATTTGTTGCACATTTTTCATTTGGTTTTAAATACTTTTCTTAGCATTCAGCTATAAATATATACATTTATTTAGATGTTTATACATATCCATCATAATAAGAATAACCAAGATCTAATTTTGGTATATACAATTATCCAAATGTAGATTCTGTGTAATTTTCAATTACTATAGGCTCAGTTAACAAAAAATCATCAGAATACATTACTAAAGGCAGGAAAATTCTTTATTTGAAAGGATCAATTACACCCTCATAACTTTCATAATAAATAGTAATTTCAGCTGAATTAAAATCTAACATAGAATAATCAGAAACAAACTTTGAATTTGAAATCTTCGGACTCATTTATTTATTATTCCATTAATAAAATACCCAAAATGCATAAGTTAAACTTAAAATGCTAAGTAAAATGCTTAGGAATCCTCCTAATGCACTTTTGAAAACTGTTTATTGTTGATTAATATTCTATACAAAAGGAACTCCAAAAAAATCAGCTTA